TATATATAGTATACGTAATATATATATATATATATATATATAATAGTTATAATATATGTGTGTGTGTGTGTGTGTGTGTGTGTGTGTGTGTGTGTGTGTATGTGTGTGTGTGTGTGTGTTATATATATATATATAATATATATATATATATATATTATATATATACATATATATATATATATATATAAGCCTAATTCCAGTCCAATATGCACGGCACACTGTGATCAGAGTATTGTATAATGTTCATCCACAGATTGAATAGGAGTACACATGGTACTACATAATCATTCCGATTAACACACCGTGATACGTATGATGCTGCTGATAGTCAACCTTTGATATTTTTCATTTAAATGATGGGGTTTTCAGAATACCAACGAGAACAATATACGCTCCTCAGTCGATCCGCTACCAAGAATATTGGACAAGAGTTATATCCCACCACAGAACACTGCAGCATACGATAAATGCAATCGGCGATCGTACCTTTTAGATCTCTGTGGACTACTCGACGATCATGGCAATATTGCACCGCAGAGACGATCTGATGAAATTTGCGCCGCGCTTCTGGTTCCTTCATGCGACCATGTGCCACTAGATGATCTGTTGGTGGTTAAGCAAACCCAATGTGTACACCTTGAAAATGACGTAAGGCCATGGCAGGTCTGAAAGTCTGACATTCACTTGATCAACGATATGCTTCGAAAAGAAGTCGCATACATAAATAGTCTGCTTTTTCACTGCTCTTCAGTTCGCACGCCAGAACTCACGACCCCCATGATTTTAGGTCTTTTCAATTTTTCCAATTAGCGATTCATTTCTGAATAGAACAAAACTAGCAGTATATAGCAGATGAGTATTACAATAGCATCGTTGGCATGTTGGTTGTGGGGCGTGTTCTCAGATACTCACCAAACACTTCACCGCCGGACGCATATTCCATTACCAGGTAAAGAATGTCAGGAGAATCCATCACCTGCAGCAAATACCAAGACTGGATTAGAACCCATCATTCCACAATAAATGCAACGGGGGCTACCATAGTATCGAGGCGACAAGAAAAGACAATTCTACGAAATTAGAGAATGAATAGCTCCACGCAAATACAACCATTGGAAGATTTAAAGGGGTATCAAGTCAGTGCTCTCGGAAATAATGTACAACGACACACCTGATATAAACGAATCACGTGCGCGTGATTCAAAAGTTTAAGAATTTTCACTTCTCTGTGGATCTTCCTTAGGCTCACCGCATCCATTTTTGTTTTATCTATCAGTTTAATGGCCACCTGCTCGTGAAAATACAGGCAGTTAGTACTCTTTTCCTCAACATTACAATTAAAAATGCGTATTTCATAGTAGAATTTGGCTTCATTTATGGCGAAGAAAAGTAGAATACCACTACAACCTTGTAATGCCGCCGATGTTTATAGAGCTTGCTGTTATACTACCGTCAAAACTTTCAATGTTGTATATTTGCGAACGGCTTGAACATTCCAGTCGATTAGCAGAAAAAATCTAACACCGCGCATAAGTGTTTTTTCGCAACCCGGACTCTTTACAGGTGACAATTTAGGGAATGAATCCGCTTTGCCTTAATTATCATCAATATCCTAGAAGCGGATAGGTTCTGCAATCGCACCGATCACAAGTTTTCGCTATGCTTTTCGCCATGATCATATGTTTTGCCATTATTAGAATAGGGCCATAGAAATTCAAAGAATATTCATCCACACATGTGCATATCTGGACGATCAAGTTGAAAGCTAGGACTTGGATTTCGAAATCTCGTGGTTGTTGTCTTATTCTATTTGTGATTGTGTGGCATGCTGTAACCAAGATGGGATGCTCGCACGTCACAGCATCTCGAACTGTGTGCGTTTTGAGTACTTCCTATGAAGTAACATTCTCATTTCTTTGTACTGAGATAGTCTTCTTGTACTGAGATATTTGATTCAATTTTGTAGCTCATGATTCGAATCAAATGAACTCGGATTGTATTTTGAAGTATAACATAGAAAAATTGTGGATTGCATAGCTCGGTGTGCCTGCCTGGCTACAGATGTAATTCAAGACTTGTGCTGCCTGGTAGCATCCAGAAAATTCCTCTATAGAGTCACAAAGCTTTCTCGAGTTGTAAATACTATACCTGACATATTTGATCTAAGCATACTATCTCCAAAGTAGGCCGTGACGTACTATTTGACAAATCAATTAAAAGTTGCAATCAGCGAGACCGATTGGCAAAAACTAAATTTACCTGTTCCTTGGTGAGACGGTGCCGTCCGACCTTTACAATTGCGAAGTTACCCTTCCCAACTGTTTTGTATAAGTCATAGCATCCGACCTGAAATATATTCTCCATGGATCGAACTACCGGTCTGTTTTTCAGCTTAACGGAACCGTGGACATTGGCCATAGTGTCTATCTTATTAGGATCGCGAGATCTATTTGCTTAAGTAGATTTTTCAATACGTGGCAAGGCACCGCGCGGGAAAACTATTATCCACCCTCAATCTTTATTGATATCCCTGTTAGTTTGGACAACACGTCGAAGGTGGCAATGCAGGTTTACGCGACAAGTCTTGTCGTCCGTACATACACCCTACCAGGCCTACTATCGTACGTGACTTAATTCAGAAACAGAGTGTAACAACCACGTTCAGTAACATGGTATTATCGTCAACGATAGTGCAGGGTCTTTTATTGACACGAGCGATACACTACAATACGTATGTTGACTCGCAGAATCCACAGATAGACAGATATTTATGTTGTTTATTTACATCATTTCAATACAGTCCAGTCGCGTCTCGCCGAGCTTCAGCAAATCTCCCCAATCCCCCATATGTACAAAAAAAAAATACTAAACTTTTCAGAAATTAATTTTTTTTCTCATTCATGCGAATCCTGCCACGCTGGGAGTTGTTGACCTGTTGTCATTTTGATTCTTGATCACAAGTATCCATCACAAGAGTCCTTGACATCCAAATGTCCCAGACTCCTGTCCGCAACCTGCCAACCTCACAAGTCGCAGGCGGCGGGGCTCGTGCAAACTGGAGCGGCTTTTCACTTTTTGTTTTTTTGTTTTTTAAACCCAAAAGAGTGTTGAACTGTTGGCCGTTGAGCCGTGTGGGCGTTGGCCCTGTTGTGTTGGCAACTTGGCATTTGAGTCGCAATTTGGGATTCTGGGACTCTGCGTCAGTGGGTCAATGGGAGGACTGATCATGAATTCATGATGGGTCAGACTCAGTTGGGTATGTATTTATTTTAATTTTGACTTTTGATTTGCTTTTTCGAAGCCACAAATAGTCAAATACCGTATCCCTAGAAACCGATGGAGGAATGTCTGAGGAGCCAGTCGCATTATATCGAGAATTTGTGGGCATTTTTATAGTTAAGAGTAATGTACAAACTTTATCACTAATCAAAACAAAGCCGCTAATAGTTTTATGCCTAATAATAATATTGAAAAAGAATTGGGCCATTGACAATTTTGACATTCCGTTTATATTTATTTTATAAAAATATTGTTGTTGTTTTTTTGTTTGTTTTTTAAAACTGTTGGTACAATATAATTTCCATAATTTTGCTTTTTTTTTACAAAAGACTTGCAATTTTTTTAAATCCTTTTGAGACGTCTTGAGAGAAGGACGGCAATACGACATGTCTTGCTGACCCACTATTGCAACAATCACACCCATAGCGGCTTGTTGAATAATAGATTCGCACAGTAATAGTAGTATTAACTATAAATACCTAGTAGATTGTTGTGGCGATTGAAGCGAAGTATACTCGTTGATTGTTGTGGAGATTGAACGAAGTATATGGCATGTCTTGTTGACACACTATTGCAACAATCACACCCATAACGGCTTGTTGAATAATATATTCGCACAGTAATAGTAGCATTAACTATGAATACCTGGTAGATTGTTGTGTCGATTGAAGCGATGTATACTCGTAGATTGTTATGGCGATTTATATAGTTCATATATTTTATTATAGGCTCTCGTGTAACTAGATATGTACTTGTTGAATTTGGTATGGCAGGTGTCCTTGGCGACATACAACGGTTCGGCTGAGTATTAATTAAATATAATGATGCTAGGCATATCTACCATGCCTGAAGTCATCAAGATGCTCGAGCCTATTCTAAGCCAGAATAGACACACTTTCTATATATATATATAGGTCTACCTATACATATATATATGTGTGTGTGTCTGTGTCTGTGTCTGTGTCTGTGTCTGTGTGTGTGTGTGTGTGTGTGTGTGTGT